GTCTCCCCGATGACTCGCTATGCCCGAATTTGAACTTCGAACATGACCTGGCATTCTTTCCTTCTTTTCGGATTCCACGTGTCCTGAAAACAGAACAGCAGCTCTCGGGAGGTCTGGAGAGCAGGCCTCTCTCAAGTCACCCTCCCGAAGAAGGAAGAGCCCTTCTCCCCGCTCCTGCCTGCAACCCCTGGGGTCCCACGAGGGGCTGGCCTCAGCGCAAAGCACCAATGAGCTGGTGAGCGGCAGCAGGGCCTCTGCTCAGAGAGGTCTGAGCAGCGGGGAAGCTGATGGGTGTGAGGCAGAGTGCATGGAGGTTCACGGAGGAGCAGCAGGCATCTCTCTGATTATAACTGGGGCTGTGTTTGCCTTGTCGAACATTTGAGGCTGGGATCAGAGTATGAAATAAGAGGATTTACAATAGGCCGCTTGCATCTTCGAGGGGAAAGGAGTGTGCGAACTCGAGGCTGCACCGTGGCCTTGGTTTTCTGGGCAGGAGAGCCCCAGGTGGGCGATAATCATCGCTCTCCTGCCCATCCCCATGGTCTCCTGGCCGGTCTTCCCGGCCAGACTCTGGGGGGTAATTTGCTCTTTCACGTTGTGGTGTGAGACACCTTTCCTTCTGTCTTCCTTTCTTTTATTCCTCATTTTCACAGTTTTACTATCTATTTAAAACTTGTACTCTTTTAGAAAATATAATACAAACGCCTGGAAAAATAGAACCAGTGCAAAAGGAATGCAGCAAAAATTGTCTTCCTTCCACCGCTGTTCCTCCACGAAAGGGCCACCCTCTGGTACCAGTTTCTAGAGTTTATCTTTCCAGAGATATTACGTGCATTACCAGCAAAGTCTCTGTGTATCCACGCGTACGACGCACTTCCTGCCCCTTGCTGTTCCAGGCATACAGTTTCCAAAACACCATCCTGCTTAAAATACGTTCATAGACCCCAGTTTTCTGCAGGATAAAGCCCAACCTCTTACTGGTGCAGAACATCCTTCACATCCGTCTCCCCAAATGAGCACCGCCTTCCAGCCCGGCACCCACCTCCCTCTAGCTCCCTCCGCCTCCCACCCCACTCCAGGTTTTAGCCTCAACAGATCTCCAGGCCTGTGAGTCTCACTCCTGTTAGTTCCTTGGTCTGGAGACACTTGCCTCTTCCCTCTTCTGCTTGTCAAAAATCATTCTCATCTTTAAAGACTCAGTTCCACGTATCACTTCTGCTGTGAAACCTTCTCCAAGTTTCCCAGTCGTGTTGACTGTTTCACCTGTCTTTGGATGCTCCCTGGAAAGTTCTGCATCCCTCAATGGGTGGTTCATTTATTTCCTGAACATCCTTGAAATGCCAAATGTGCTAAGGACCAGAGAGACCATAAGCCATAACACAGTCTCCACCCTCAAGGAACTTAGGGTCTAGTGGGGAAAAGTAACACACTACAACAGAAGTGTGTGATGAATACAAGGTGTGGGGCTACACCAGAAAGGAGCCCTTTCTGCAGACTGGGCCAGGACAGATGAAGAGGCAGAACCGAAGCCGATGCCTGAAGGTCTAGAAGGATGAGCCATACGAGAAGTTATGGAGAATGAGTAAGAGTTGAAATATCCCCAGGAGCCGTGGCACACAAAGAGAAAGGCACGTGCAAACGTTGAGGAGCACCAGAGCTCACGTGACGTCGAAGAGCTCAAACAATATGGCCGGAGGCGAGAGCTGTGAGGACAGAGTCAAGTGACTAATGGGAGACAAAGTTTTCTGCTCCGACACGAACAGTTGGCGTAGGAGCAAGTGACTCAACAGGTCTGGCAATTGGAGATTCATAATCTCTGACTTCCAAGTTGCAGCAGCTTCTGAAAGTTTACAGAGGATTTGGGGAAGGCCAAGGGTTGCCACTTACGTGATTGCCCTTGAGTCCTCCAGTTGTGGGTGTTGATAAGATGCTGCTAGGAAATTTTTGAAGGTTAGGATTTTGGTGAATTGCTCTGTAAATCCAGGTACATAGTAATAATGCTAAGAGCTGTAGGGATGAGCCTATATTGGGGCCTTACTCTGCTTCCAATGCTATTTTAAGTAATTTACATGTTAGAGGATATTTAATCTCAACTACTTAAAGGGGTGGGTATACCATTACTATCCCCATTTTATAAATGAGGAAACTGAGGTCCTGAAATGAGGTACTGAGGTTCAGAGGCTTTCCCAGTGGTGCAGAACTTGTCCTTGGTGGAGCCAGGATTGAAACCCCAGCAGTCTTGCTGGAGCCCATATTCCTAACCGTTAGGCACCATTGCCTCTCCCCAGCTGCAGTGGGCGGGTGTCTGGGTGAGCACACTGCCAGGCCTAGGAACCCAAGGCTCACTGTTCCAGAGACAGAGTCCGGGAAATCAGGGACAGATGGACAGTAGGTAGGGTGTGCACGGTTTGCCCTTGGCACCCTGAGGCAGCCACTGTCTGTAAATAACAACTTGGGGAGTTTAATTAACAGCCCACTTGCAGGAACGCCAAGGACAACAGGAGCTCCATGGGGGAATGACTTGGGGGTGAAAATCAGAATTGAGGGGCCGTCTTTGCCATCTTTCAAGCTGCTACGGATAGCAACAGGCAGGCTGAATGGCCAGGTTTTGGCAGGAGAGTGGCTCCATTAATTACACAGATGGATCATGATGCTCAGAAAAAGCCAGTGGATGCTTTGATGGAGTAACTTCTGCAACCATAAAATCAGGAGAAACGTATGGCTATCTCTGTGCTAAATGGGGCCCTGAAGAGATTAACCTCACAAACAAAGTGCAAAGGATATGCATGAATTTCACCAGATGGGGGAAACTCCTCGTGATACTTGATTTCATGCCAGGGACGCTGGATTCAAATGTCAAACGATAGAAAAGTTTTCTTGAAAGATGGCGTAGGGGGCTGTAAGGAGAAGTGCTGGATTCTGATATGCAGAAGATTGGAATTTCATGTCAATGCCTTGAAGAGATCCCTGAATACATAAGCTTAAAGGAGGGGATGGAGTTGGGGGTTATAGTTATTTTATAGTCACTGTATATATTCAAAGCAAATGCATTTCAATGCCATCAACCCAGCTGTAAGCACTGTGACCTTCTTCCTCTCTCAGGGAAGGGTGATAGTGAGGCCAGTTGGAGATGGCAGACCAGGCCATTGGCCTCTGGGGCAGCACACCTTACCATCTCGTTGGCCTTACTCGCTGGTCCCGCGTGTGGGCTGCGTTTCTGCAAGCTGCATGGTCAATGCTTTGACAGGCCGCTGCGGGGAAGCTGGATGAACACAGCATTTCAGGTATGAAGACAGGTGTTCAAATCACAACTTTGCTACTGGCTAATGATATGCTGTTGGGTGAGTCAACTGAGTCTCAGTTTATTCGTCGGTGCAATGGGATAATAATCCCCCCACAGAGACGTTGCAAGGATTGAGGTAGTGACATATGAGAGCACCTGTAAGCTGCAAGCACCATGAAACGCTAGCTTCTGTAGTTAGCAGGATTTTGAGGCATAATTTACCTGATAGCCTTCTTCTACCTCTGGTCTTTCACATTCCCCTTTTGTTTTGTTTATTTTTGCTATTTTTTGTTGCACTAAAATATACAGACATAAAATTTAGCATTGTAACCATCTTTAACTGTACAATTCAGGGGTATTAAATACATTCACAATGTTGTACAACCACCACTATCCATTTCCAGAGCTATTTCATCATCCCCCACTGAGACCCTGTACCCATTAAATAATAACTCCCCATTCTCCCCTCTCCTCAGCCCCTTGTAACCTCTATTCCACTTTCTGTCTCTGTGAGCTTGCCTATAATACATATTTCATATAAATGGAATCATACAATACTTATCCTTCTATGTCTGGCTTATTTCACTTAGCGTAATGTCCCCAAGGTTTATCCATGTTGTAGCATGCGTCAGAATTTCCTTCCTTTTCCAGGCTAAATAATATTCCATTGTATGGCTAGACCACAGTTTGTTTATGTATTCATCTGTCAGTTGTTTCCACCTTTCGACAATTGTGAATAATGTCGCTATGAACATTCAAGTCCAAGTATCTGTTTGAAGTCCTGCTCTCAGTTCTTTTGAGTATATATCTAGGAGTGGAATTGCTGGATCACATGGTCATTCTACGTTTAACTTTTTGAGGAACTACCAAATTGTTTTCCACAGCAGCTGCACCAGTTTACATTTCCACCAGCCACGGATGAGGGTGACAATTTCTCCACAGCCTCACCAACACTAGTTATTTTCCTTTTTAAAAAAATAATAGCCACCTACTGGGTGGACGTGGTAACGCCATTTGCTTTGAAGAGTATCCGTTATATCTCCATGTGGTGAGAAACTCCAGAGTAGATAAAGTTGCCCGTCTACCCCTGGAACTCTGGCATATCAGGGAGTATATCTGGCACCAGGATTTCTTTTTGCAAAAGTTTTTATCCAAAGCAAAAAGGTTTTCCAGGGAGGAACTGGGAGAAGGGCTTGGAACCATAGTCACTTGACAGTTCTGTCCATCTGTTTATTTATCCATTCATTTTTTCCCTCATTCATTTATTCCACAAATATTTATTGAATGCCTGTTTTGTAGGGAGCAAGAAAAAATTGTGTCGAATTCTGTGGCAACTGGATTTTAGAATCCACAACACCAAAAATTGGAAGGGACCTTAAGAATCCTCTGTCCAAACACCTACCCCACTCAGCAATGTTTCCTAAAACTAGAGAGATAGGAACAGAGCTCAGGTTTCCAACTCAGTGATCAGCCAGGAATGATGTAGCCAAAGCCAGGGAGCAAAACTCAAACTTGCAGGAGAATGGGTTTAAAACAAGGGCAAGCATTTGCAGGGAAGCTCTCTTTTTTTACATCTCACTAGAAAGTCCAGTCACTCGATAAGCCAGTGGGATTTGAACACAATAAAACAAGTGTGAAGAAAACCTGATTAGATAAGCCTTGAGTACTCACATAGTCCTTACATTGTGATAACCTCCCTCCCAAATGTCACCTACAGGCTGTGTGTAGTGGGGAACACGGCTGACTTGGAATCTGAAAGCCAGGCAGGAATGTGAATATTTGATTTCAATCTGGGAAAATTCCAGAGGACTAAATTCAGAGGATTTATGAACACCATCATATCCAAACAACTGGATTTCGTTGACAAACACAGACTTATTTTGTAGCTCAAACTGGGACATTTCAACTATATTAAAAGGCAAAGATAAAGAAATGGAAACAGTAGATAGAATGCAACTCACAGAGCTTCCACATATATGTTTATTTTACTCTGGTTAACGTTTAAGCCTCAGGAGTCCAAAAATAAGTTAGAATCATAGACAGCATCATTTCCTAAAGCCGTGTTCTCTTCCTATACACCCTCCAAAGCCACACAAAAGTACAAGATGGACCTCATCTACTCGTAACAGGGAGAGAGCAGCATTTTCTCAGATCCAGGTGGAGCTTTCCAGAAAGAGCTTCCCAATCTTCATGACCATAACCACGGTGTCCAAGATGATAGCTGGAAAATAAGGTTAAATACCATTATACGAAACTTTCCATAACTTGGATGCCAGCAGCCCTAGCTTCCATTCCATCTGTAATCTGGTTTCTCTACCTCATTTAATATTTTACTACCATTTTTATGTACATGGAAGTACTTCACAGAAGTAATGAATGTCTTAACTATACATAAGGCCTTTCCACGTAGGACTATTAGGTTCAGCATTATTCTGCTGGGTGCTGCAAGGCCCTTTGTTGTGTCCAGGTTTCTGTGCTTATACAGCAGGATGCCGGAATCTTAAAAGGAAGCAGAAGGCTGAAGACTAAAGGTCACCGTGCAACCCGGTCAGTGACGAGGATTCAGCTGGTGACTGAGTCATCCTTGACCCCCAACCTCCCTGACTGCCTTCTCGTCCGCTCTTCTCGTCTGTGGCTGAGCACCTTGAGGTGCTGGTCCACGCTCCTGACCTGCTTCCTGCTGCAAGCCCACCACCATCTAAAGAGTCACCCCATCCCATCAGCCTAGTCCTGTCTCACATGAATCCCACCGCAGTGGCTCTGCAAGAAAAGCCTAAACTCCTTCAATATGTTTTAGAAAGATTTACATTATCACAAGCATTTCAAAAGAAGGAGCGAGGCATCGGTTAAATTGACCATGAAATTAACCATAATCCTGCCACAAAGTATTCAACTAATTGAGATTACAGTCCCCAAACTAACACAGCATTCAGTGCAGTTACTAAAGGAGGTTATGCAAAATACATGCTATGCAAACACCTATCTAAAAGGAATGGATAAGGAAATTTTTTAAAGTTTTTCTTCCCAGTTTTACTGAGATATAATTGATGTATAACACTGTATTAATTTTAGGTGTACAACATACTGATTTGATATATGTATGTATTAAAAATGATGATCACAATAGGTCTAGTTAACATCCATCACCTCACATAGTTACACTTTTTTCTTGTGATGAGAACTTTTAAGGTCTACTCTCTCAGGAACTGTCAAATATACAGTACAGTGTGGTTAAGTAGTCACCATGCTGTACTTTTTTTTTTTATATAAATTTAGTTATTTATTTTTGGCTGCGTTGGGTCTTCATTGCTGCATGTGGGCTTTCTCTAGTTGCAGCGAGCGGGGGCTACTCTTAGTTGCGGTGCGCAGGCTTCTCATTGCGGTGGCTTCTCTTGTTGCGGAGCACAGGCTCTAGGCACGTGGGCTCCAGTAGTTGTGGCACGTGGGCTCAGTAGATGTGGTCACAGGCTCTAGAGCGCAGGCTCAGTAGTTGTGGCGCACGGGCTTAGTTGCTCTGCGGCACGTGGGATCTTCCCGGACCAGGGCTCGAACCCGTGTCAAGTTCAGGACTGGTAAGATCAATCCTAGTTAATATCTAGATCTGCCGGTTTTCTGTCCCATGGGGCGGATGGGGACCAAATCACCAAACCTTCAGTGAGTGCAAAGTGCAGAGAAACAGTCAATTCTGGGAGGGACTGAGCATGCGCCCTGCGCTCCCGGGGCGGATGTTTCTGCTGGAGGGAGGAACACTTCGGTACCGCGAGAAACCGCGAGGTTTCCGGGTGTCCTTTTTATCTGCGTAGATACTCTTCTTCTTCTGATCCCGTTACTCACGCTGCACTATCACAACGTACTGGCCTCTCTGGGCCTGGAAAACCGAGCCAGCTGACTGTCGAAGCACCAAGGCACGTCTTGGAAGTCCACGGGACACTCAGATGCCTATTTCCTGTCAGGTAAGGGAAACCTTACAATGTAGTGATTCTAGATTCTAGCTGTTGCTTTATGTTTGCGGAGAACTTGCTAAGGGGTGGGGACTTCTGCTCGGTTTGTACTTCCATGAGGAGGACTTCTTTTAAGGGACCCCCGAGCCTCCATCCACCCATTCCGTCTGGTAAGGAAGTCATTCGTCTGGTCGGGGTATTGGGAGGAGAATCTGAGCCCGCGTGGTTCAGCTTTTCCTGGTTCCTCCTTGTTCCGTACCTGCCTGCGGGCAGCTCCCATCCCTCCTTGCACCCTGCAGGCAGAGGGGCCCAGCCCTGTGGGAAGACCTGCTGAGCTCTGGTCCCTGTGGGTATTTCAGAGGCCACGTGTTAGTACAACCCGCAGGCTGCAGGTCTACAGCCACGCTCGCTAGCCGGCTTATTTGTAATAACGCTGACATGTGGCTCCCCAACTGTTGACTGCCTGTATCTTTCTCTCTATGGATTTTGAATTCAGGTGAAGATGGGTATTATGTGTGAGCCCCTAATTCCCAAACAACTTCAGTGTTCAGAGCTTTACTTTATTCTAAATGTCCCCCAGTCCAACCCATGTTCGTGCCACACAATGTGCACGCCTGTACATTTCCCCCTCCTGTTTCAGAGTCCCCAACCCCTGCTTTCTTCCTCTCGAGGTCCCAGGGCATCTAACACATCAGGCTGGGTGTCTGGCCTGAAAGGGCTCCAGGCTTCCTTCCACTGTCGGGGACGTATCACTGACGAGGTGCCACGGGTCACGCCCTGGCTCCATCAGTGTGCGTGTGCCTCTTCCACTGGGTGGACAGATAGCCATCACTAAGCCCATTTTCCGTGGGCGCTCTGGACCACCTCCTCTTTGTCTGGCCTGACCCCCTTTCCCTTCAGGATTCCTGGGGCCGTTTCCCTTAACTTTGACGCCAGGAGCCCTGCTCTGCCCAGCGGGTTTGGCGGGTCAGTTATAAAACACAAGCATTTTCTGGCAGGAAACTAACCACCAAGGAAACAAGACTGTCTCCAAAATCAGGTCAGCATCAGGTCAGATAAGCACAGCCTGGAATTTTTAAGTATCTGCAGGAGCTGATCCCACAATCTTGTCTCTCTCGTGTGCGAGGGAGGGACACTGGTGATTTTCTGACAGTTGCCAGAACACGGGGCTCTGTGAGAGATAGGACGTGAATGCCGAGCACTTCCCTCCGACCGTGGTGGTGAAGGAGCGTTCATTAATACGCGGTTCCTGACGCCACTCACTCAGCTGCCAGAGCCCGAGAGGGCCCAGGAAGGGGCTCCAGCTGAGGCCTCCGAGCTCTCCAGCTCTGAGAATCGCTGGGGACCTTCCGGATATATTTATTAAAGTTTAAATGGGGTCATGCGGGGTGGCCAGGGGTGTGGGTGATGACACCTCTGGAGTCGTTCATTGCCCAACCAGAGAGACATGCAACAGCCCTGGGGTCCTGCGGAGACAAGCAGGTCCCCACCGAATGGCCTTATGGGACAATTTTGCCACAGTCTGGGCTGGATTATCAGTTTCAGAGACTTGGCCACTTTACTTATTAGGGGAACAGAGGCCTCTCATAGGGAAGGAAGCACCTTAGCCATGTTCACAGAGCCTGCTGTGATTAAAAATAAGAAATACACATAACACAGGGAATATAGCCAATATTTTATAATAACTCTAAATGGAGTATAACCTTTAAAAATTGTGAATCACTATGTTGTATAGCTGTAACATATATAATATTGTACAGCAACTATACTTCAAGTAAAAGAAGAGGGAGAAATACACCAGCCACTCAGAGTGGACCACCTGGGTTGGGACAGGTTCTCTGTGATGGGCCGAGTGGACACTCACCCATGATGTTCTCGGCTCTGTGATCAACTGTCCCTTTTTCTGATGGCTGCAGTCTCTTTAGAGATGGAGAAATGTCCTTCAGTCCCCATTGTTACTGAGTCCTGCCAGGCTGGAGGCAGTCTCTCTTAGATGACTTTGTTCTCTTGCTTTGATCCGCTGTGTACAAGTTTAGTAGTTTAACTCATAACGTAACAACCTCAATTCCGAATTATCTGGGTTGCTTTGAGACACCCGGTTTATCCCAGCCCCCAGATACGGAGGTGCTCCTGAGGCCGGCCAGCAGCCCTAAGTGCTTCGCTGCGCACCAGCCATGAACACACCACGTTCTTTCCCCGTTCCGTGCACTTACTGATGTAATACCCCCCGTCCGACCTCTCCTTCCTCCAAGGCGCAGCTCAAGACCCACCTCCTGCAGGAAGCCTTTCTTAACCTTCCCGCCCTTGATCATCTCTCATCCTTCGAAGCCCTGTAGTACTTGGAGATAATGCAACATAATTTAGCCCTTAAATGGGTACTGGCTAGTATCAATCACTCATTTCCTCTGTGCTCTCTTGCACCAACCAGACTCCAGGCCCTTTGAAATGTATTCCACATTTCTTCAGCCTCCCCACCATTTCTTGCCCTTCCTGACCACCCGTTATTGTCTGAGCCGTGCATTGTGTCACTCAATTCCGTTCCGTCTGAATGCATACTCTAGTGTAAGGTATAAGAGTTCTGTCTGCACAGCTGTAGCCAAGGTGGAGTGATGTTAGCTCCAGGCCGAGGTGGCACTAGGCACGGCCCTGTGTCAGGGTCCGATCCTCACGGGTCTTAGCCAGTGTTTGTGGTTGCCCTGAAGGTGGCCCCCACCAGTCTCGAGGGGCAGGCTTTCGCATCAGGTCGATCTGCGCGTGAGTCCTGGAGCCGTCACTTACCAGGCGTCCCTCCAGGCAGGACCTCACCTAAGCTTTCTAGATCTCCATTTACTCATCTGTAAAATAGGAGAGGGTATATATAATACCTCCCACCACACAGATCTATTTTGGGTCTTAAGTACCATCATCCCCTGAAAATATGAGGCATATGGAGAATGGGAGTTAAGAGCAGGGCCCTTTGGGATCAAATCACATGACCTTGATTGACCAAGAGACTTCACTCCCTAAACTTCACCTGTATAATAGAGATTATCATGTGAACCTCCTGGACTTCTTGGGGATCATGCCGGACGATATTAGGTACTTGTGTGTTATTATTATTATTGGTAGTAGTCATCGTAGAAAACTGTTAGCACAGTAACTGGCACATGAAAAGTGCTCAAAAATTGTATCTCTACCATGCTTGTTCTGTTTCCCTGAGGTATCAGGCTAGGTCCGCGGGTCCCTTTTTCCACATCTGCCATCCCCACAGCTCAAAGCAGGGCTTGCAGCCTCGTCGAATCTTTACACCGTGGCAGTCCTAGGAAAGCAGAGGTGCAGCATCTACTGCTGCACAGCGTGCTCTCAGCCCCACCACACCACCCGTGTTATCCTGCCCCTCTAACTCCTCCATCCTACAGAAGACTTGCCATAAATTCTTACTGGAGCGTGGGACATAACAGTTTGTAGCGAAATAAAATCTGCAAGATTCTTCCTGTAGCAGAAATTTTGACAACAGCTCTTTTCCCAAAGGACAGCACAGAGGATGCCTGCTCTAAGGGAAAAGCTCTCCAGGAGAGGGGGAGAAAATCCCCTCTCCGCCCTACAGTGCAGGGGACCAGCGGCCTTTTCAGGGGCTTGGCGTAGCGCGTTGATTCCTGCGGCTGCAGACTGATGTGCAGGCTGTCAGCCCACCTCGCTTGTGCGGGATGATCCAGGCAATTCCTCAGAGGACAGCAGCCTTCCACCCTTTGGCCCTGGACTGATGCTAGAAGCCTCTCTGACCTCTCCGTCCTTTACCGTGTACAATCCAATCTTGGAATCTACAAATGAAGGCTCAGAGCCCTGGCCAGGTTGAGACGGTTAGTACAAATAACTTCTGAAGTTCTTCCTTCAAGTTTCTGTAGCTTATGGTTTATTACTTAATTTTTATCTCTACCTTTTAGGTAGTGATTTTAATGCAGCTAAACAGGTGCCATAAGTTACTCCTCCAAGGGCCCTGCTTTTCTGTAATGATGGAGAGATCCACTGTATTCCTGCTTAATCAGATTAGCTTAGATTTGTGGACTGCCTCCAGGAAAAGGAGAAAGGTGTAAAGATGCAGCGTGGCTGTTCTTCATTTTTACTGTAGC